CACGAGAAAGCGGACCTCAAGAATGTTGTTTTCGAGTATTTGGTCATTTGAGTTTAAGACGCCAGCGCAAATCCCTCTAAACTAAGGTCAGGGTGTCTCAAAGCATGAGTAGTAACGCAGTGTAAGGATCACACTTAATTTCGGTAGTTCCCAAAACACCCAATATAGACCCCAACATACCATAGTCCTTATTATGTGGGGCCCCTAGTCTGGGAAACGACCCCTAAACCCTAAACCTCAATTTTCGGAACCTACCAAATCTCTGGAGGTGCGAATGCCACTGTGCTTTGCTCCCTACCTGGCCCAGTGCCACCAGCCGAGGTGGGGGAAGGAGGGCCATAGTGGTTATTAGCCTTTAGAGATACAGACATATGTAATATCTCTCCGTATATATATATATATACATATACAAAGGGGTCTACAGAGATATATACAGAGGTTGAGTGGGCTTGGGGCGTTGGATTCAAGAGCTTTGGCATCGCGTGGGCCTGGATTCCCCTTGGCAGGTGGGCATGTTCCAAACTATAGCACAAACGAAGGATTCTTTGGTTTTCGGCTACAGGGTGCCCTTAATTTCTTGAAAGAACGCAGAAACACTGCGGGATTCACCGGCTCCATGAACCCGAGATGGTGATACTTGTAGAATTTGCTTTCACCTCTCTGAGGTGTCTGCTTGTTCGTTTCTAGTATTCAGGCAGGTCTGTGATCTCATGTTTGGTTCTGGCACTGCTGAAGCACGTGGATGCCCAAAGACAAGTTGTCCTTGTACTCAGCAACAAGAATGCAGAATTTCTAAGCATCCTGTGCCTGAATTATGGTAAGACCCATGCATTCGTGCAGATCTTGAGGTGCATAGCTGAAGGGAAGCAACATCCCCAGACTTCATAGCGATCCAAGCGGGCTTCAACCAACCTCCCAAGACCTGTGGAGTGAAGCTCTTCGAGATCTGATGTCCAAGCTGTTCGCAGACTTATCTAATGACAGCTCATAACAAGCTTTCAAATTCAAGCCAGAGCTGACGACATCCTAGGACGTTTCGACGTAGATATCAGTATTCAGCAGGTGAGTGGCCTGAAGGCGTGTTCCACCAGCTTGATAACTTCCCCGCCCCCCCCGCTAAAGCGAAGAACCTTCTGGGAGGACTTACATTTCGGGAATCTCCATCAAGAGGAGCGGGGAGATGGGGAGCGAATCCAGCCTTTTGGGGTTGCCGAGAGTTTAGGAACCTGAAGTGTTAAGTTTTAAGCCTGGGGATTCTGTTTAGTATCAGGCACGTTGTGGAAGTTTGCCTAAGGAAGATAGCAGAATCCCGCTGACAGGAGGACGCTGAGGGCACAGATGTAATTAATCCGGTTTGGGAGGGCAGTTGATTGGTCTACCTGGGTTGGTGGTTGAGGTATTCTGCATGTCTCGCATTATAGGATCCTCCCAGGCCCGGACAGTGCAAAACAGAAGTCATGAGCTCTGGCCAAAGGGGCAACCGAGGGGCAACATGAAGATGCAGCCAGATACCGTGCGGTGGCTAGCGCTCTAAACTCTAAACTTTATAAAGCGGCATTGCCTTGTTTTGCTTTGAGCCTTTGGGCCTCCGAGCGTGCAAAGGAGTGCTACTATGCTCCAGTCCATGTTGAAGCATCCTCATCAGCATATCTGCGTAGAGCATCGCAGTCGTGTTGTTTTTCGTTTGGCTATTCGGAGTTCCTTTTTCCGCACTTGCATGTAAGTCGAACGTGAGGCGATTTAGAAGCCGAGTGCTTCGGAATCTCAAAGTCCGAGTTGAGGACATAGGTGTTGGAGAGCAAAACGGCATCAAGTCCTTCCGCACTCAACTTCCACACAGCATCAAAATTATTGTGTGGCATGCTAGTAGGTGAGAATGGCAAGAACCCCGGTAAGAACCCCTGAAACTAATCTGGGTTGCTGCTGAGGAACTTGGATTAAGTTAGCATAAGAAGGAAACCCTATTACTATTCACTGTATATCCATACTATGGACACTTGTTTTCAGTTCTTTACTGTAACAGCAAGCCAGCAATCGACGGCCACGCACAACAGCAGGACGGCTGCCTGCGAGCTCCGATGGGATCGCCTCCGGGCTCACCCCGAAGGCCAATCTGGGGGGTTCCTAAAATTAGGGGTACCTGAAAAGGGAGATATAGGCGTTATATAGGGATGTATAGGGTTTGGGTTTTAGGTTTCCCAAAATTAGGGGTACCATTTTGGGCTGGAGCTTGATACCTCCAAAGAATGAAGGTACCTCACATGCGAAGGCCTTACCTGAATCCCAAACCCTCTACCCAAAAGTCCTCAATCCATTTATCGGCTGCAGGAGCGATCGCTGCCATGTGACCTGGGTTTCCAGCGAAGAGGAGGGTTGCGGCTTGTGCCAGGGGTCTGACTTGAAACATGTCGTTTTGCAACACCAGCGAAAGGGATTGTACTTTTGGGGTTCGACGGGTTCGTAGTACAAGAGCAACTCAGCTTCCAATCACGAAGGAAAGAAGAGCGGCGGCGTAATGAAGAACGGGCATGATATGATGATATGAGACGGGTGGCCATGCATGCGGGCCATCGGGGCACCCATGCCACATTTGCAAAGCAACCACTATACCCTATTATATTGTAGTAGTTTCCATTTTCTTTTCCATTATCCCAATATAAAACCCCAATATATACCCCATTATAACCATATAGAAACCCTATAATCCCTGTAGTTTCCATTTTCTTTTCCATTATCCCAATATAAAACCCCAATATATACCC